CCCCCCAACAACAAAAAACCAAAAACCAACACAAAAAACAACAACAACAATAAACAACAACAACCAAGAACAAACGCAAAACAAACAAAACAAAAACAACAAACAAACAAACAAACAAACAAACAAAACGTCAATCGGATGAAAATTAGGTTTTCCCAACCCTTACATAAAAAGAATATGGTAAAAAGTGTAAGTAATCGTCCTTTGTGATTTCAGGGGTGGATTTGCCCGAACAGAAATCCTCAAATGAAGTGCACCAAATCGTGATAGCCATATCCTGCTTCACCTGGACGATGAAAGATTTCTTGATATACTTTCAGGCGTGGCTGTTGATCGGCTGTAAGGGACGATCCCAATAGCAAGTTTTATTACCAATTTGTTTACTAATATCATTGTGTTCAGTAGCGACAGGTGGAGGGAAAAAGAGATGGTTGGTAGAAAGCCTGGATTCTGGGCATGGGAGTTAAAGTATTAACCCTATCCGTACGCCCTGGGGTCATTTTGTACCCCCGGGGTTGTATTCTTGACATAATGGAATACTTCTAGTTTGAAGTTCCCATTGAAACTTTCAGTATTTCTCTAAGCTCTAGAAATAATTTTGAAAGACTGCACTGCTATTCAAAGCGTACGGATCGGATTAACGAGTAAATTTCCTCTTTGGAAAGTGGTAGCACAGAGTTCCCCATGTCGTATGTATACGATAGTAAAACACGGCGTACGGATAGGGTTAAAGTGCTAGGGCACCGAGTCTGTTGACCGTTTTCTTCTGTCTCTTCGTTGGTGGTATCACTGGCATCGTCGTCCTCGTGGTTAATTATCAATTACAGTGTCGTTAACAATAGTATACAAAAAACAGCAAACGGTAAAAACTGTAATGACATTAACAATAAAGACAACAGTAACAACAGCAACAACAACAACAACAACAACAACAACAACACCAACTATTATTATTACTAATACCACTACAATTACTACTACTACATTTCCTTTATTTTCTATCTTCTCCTGACTATTCATATCTGCATCACAAAACAACCAAAGTAATAGTCCGACCACCTCCTGACTCCCCCCCTAAAAAATGTTATGTAAATTAATAAATAGATAAATATAGAAACATGATTTCACACATTTGAATGAGACAACTAGTCAAATACATGCGTTATTGAAATCAAAACAGATAAGAAATTTAAATGATTTCGATAATGTATGACAGAAACAAATACTTGGAATAATTTTAAAAAGCGATGTAAATCAAACGAAGAACGAAAATAGTGCACGATTACAACTTCGATGGATACAAACACGCATGCACACACACACACACACACACACACACACACACACACGGACACGCACACACGGACACACACACATACGCATGTACACATAGAAACACACACACGGACACGCACACACGGACACGCACACACGGACACGCACACACGGACACACACACATACGCATGTACACATACACGCACGTATACACATACAAGTGAACATACACGCATACACATACAAGTGAACATACACACATACACACATACAAGTGAACATACACACATACACACATACAAGTGAACATACACACATACACACATACACACATACAAGTGAACATACACACATACACACA